CAATCTTCATTTTCTTACCTACATATTACATAACTTGGCTGGCTGTACAAATCTGAAATCGATGTCAAGACCGCTCTTTAGTACTTCATACAAAAATATCATTTGTATGTTTGTCATACGCATATAAATTGTCATTACATTTAAAATATGTATCATATTTACGCCCGAATTCTGACAGTCGACTCAATTTTAAGTAGTACTTAAATATCATTCTCTGTCATTCTACACAGAATTTATAGGGACAGAACTAATTAAGCGCGACTTCAAATTGAGTAGCTTGTCAGTATTCGGGCCATATTGTAATATTTCTTTTTTTATAGTTAGCAACACTGATCTAGTTTTGATAACCAACTGTTTTTTGATTATATGAACCAAAATATGAGTTTTGTATTAATATAATCGACCTAACTGTCGTACGCAGACATTTTTTTTATGGGGTAAGCCGGTGAACGAGCAGACGGATCAGCATGATGGTAAGCATTCGGCGTCACTCATGGACACTCGGAACACCAGAAGCGTTACAAGTGCGTTACCGGCCTTTTGGGGATTAGGAATTTGAGGATTGTTGGGGAATCAGGGATTGGGAAGATTGGAGAAGGGGGAAGGGGAAGGGGTAATTGGGCCTCCGGTAAACTCACACGACGAAACACAACGCAAGCGTTGTTTCACCTCGTCGCTGCTCGGCCGAAGCATGGCTCTCCCACACTTAAAAATTAAATGATTACTTAAACTATTCCTCAATAACCATTTGTTCGGAAAACAATTGCTAAGAACTGGGTTAAGTCACCATTAAATGACAATTATACGGCAGTAAGTATTATTATTAAGTAATTTCTAGAACCGAAAGCACAATAACACTTTGCTCAATACAAGAACAAACCCTAACTTTGAAATCCTTAGATAAAAGCGATCAATGTTGCCAATTATAAAAATTAAAACATTAACTATCATACAAAGTCGAGTCGAGATCAACAAAAAATGACATCAAAATCACTTAAACATACAGTCAACGCATGAATTATAAATTAAAGCGATTCCCGCCTCTATTTTGTAAGTATTAAGATCTATTTTAATGTATCACTATACATTGCTGTTGACTGTACTGAAAATATAGGAGTCATAGTTTTAGATTTTTAAAACTTATTTAAATAAAAATATTTCACATTTTCTGAGCCGTGTTTTTATACAGGCTGTTTTTTGTGTAAATATGGTCAATTTTTTACACACAAATATTGTTTAAAATACGATGTCAGTAGTTGCAAATAATAATACCGAGATTCGAATCGAATATATCGTTTAACCTTAATTTTTGCCACTTTATGAAGTGTTCTCTCTTTTTCACAAGGCGCTAACCACAATTAATATAAAATAAAATATTAATTGTAAACATTTTAGATTAACTCTAAAATTTCAAATGATATATTATCCTGCTTAATAAATATTTTTATTATAAATTCACCATATCTATACAAAACCACTTGTTTATAATAAAATTATAATAATAACGTAAAACTCGAGAAAAATCTTACATTTCACAATTTGTCAGATTCTGTAGTCGTTTCAAATGTCGATAAACCTGTCGTTAGCAATTTGAACCTTATTCTCTTATAAATAAGGTACAAATTATTGTTTCAAAATAAAATCAACTTTGGTACAATTTGCAAGATTTTATGAATCTTTTTAAAACTTAATTTTTAATTTATTCATTCTAATTTCGCTCACACAATCTAAAGATTGTAGGTACTCCACATAGGAAAACGAACTTTAATTTCTTCATAATAAAGTTTAATTTCGCTTTGAACTGTAAACAGAGATGCCGACCAATTTATCGATATTCAAACCACCAATAACAATAACCAGTCGATAAATTACAAAGCATAAATTACACCTTAGCTGTACCTAAATATTTTAAAAATTACGCTATCCTACCTCTAATTCGATATATCGATAAATCGATACTCAAAACATCGATATCGATACATCGAACAAAGGCTAGAGAAGTATTAAAATATTTTTTTCAATCAGCCATTATGAATTAAAGAATTATCAACAAATTTTTCTTTTTTTTTTTGAACTTTACGTACTGCACCCATTATTTTTGTAAAATATTACTTTTTTTAAACCACTTCACGATTTTTTTTATTACATACAATTTTGTACATGTCTTGTTCATTCGTAGTCAATTGTCGTGCAAATTGCTAGTCGGAATAACTCGATATATTGTATTATATGTAATAGATAGTTATGGGCTCCGAGCGTGGCTCGAAACTCGTCGAGATATCTCGATAAACAATTCCGCGAGTTATCCATATCGTAACTAGGCATTTTCGACGAAATTTATTGGCGATGTCAATTTTTAAAAGCTTAGACATAATTAGCATATAAAAATAAATCATTTTCATTATCATATAACTATAAACAATTATTAAATCGTGCAAACATGCAAAATTATGTTTTTTTTTGCGTTTTTGAAACCATATATTTTGGTAAAGCGTTTAAAAATTGACATACTGACCAAAAAACCCAATAACAGGTCGCGCTTCACAACGTGTTTATATGTAAAATGTATTCAATAAATCGTTTTCACTATAAACACATAACTTCACGCTTTATTCGTTAAAAGAGTATCCAGATATGTATTTATTAGTCAACTCAGATCATCTAGACTAACCATTATGAATAAATTTTAGTTATAAACACATTTAAACCGTAGTTTTTGAATTACTGAAGCTGAATTTTCATAACATTTTATAGTGGTGTTATAAAATATATTTGTCACCACGTACTATTCCCGCTGGTGTCGTATACCCGACTAAGGGACTACACATTAGACAGAGACAGGGCAGCAGCGCTCTCTGATAAACCTGAACCTTTTATACTGCGATCTCCAACCCACCAAAAGACTATGGCAAACCTTTCTTATGGAACGACGCATGACGTCATGAAATTTCAGCAAATTTTCGCAGTAATTCTAAGAACTAGGCGATACTTTTCAGTCAATATGTTTCAGCGATGTGATATTTATTCCTACAAGAGCTCTATTTCATTAAAACACCTGGATCTGGGTGCTTACTCTTGAATCCAATTCCGATCGATCGACATTGGTATTGTGAAATTTCATACTCTTGAATGATGACGATATTGAATGAACTAAATGGTATTGAGTTTGGCTTTATATTCCGCACTCTGAATGTTATTTTAACAGCTACGATAGGGGTTGTATAGTTTTGACATTGAATAAGTATTGAGATTTTATTGGATTGAAATTGCATTGACATTGAGATTGGTTTTAAGAGTAAGCGACCTGAGGTGTCTTAATAAAAAAGGGTCAATATTTGAGACCCTTTCTCCACCATTTTCAGCTATATCATCCTGAAATCTTTCTAATTAGAATCACCGATATTAAACCGTCCACTGAGTTACTATAAATTAGACCACTATAAATAAACCAACGCTTAGAAATGGCAAAAAATATATGAAAATAGAGTAACATACAAAATTACATACGTTGACAGCACGTCACCCTATCCCTTCTGTCAGTCGCGGAGAACCTAACGGGTAACCGGGGCTCCGGCTCGACGTGCAGGAGAAGGAACGGGGTGGTTTTTAGTCAGTTTTCGGAATAACACATTATGCTACTTTTCGGACCACGGGCGAAGCCGATGAAACACGCTAGTTTTTACATATATTTTTTGTCTTCTCCAAGCGCCAGTAAGTATATAGCGCCTATGTATAACAATATCACTTTTATATAAACTTCTACATGCCTTTATACATCTATATATTAATACGTCCGTAAATTAAAACGATCAACTTCGGGTCTTAGAGAGAGACAAAAGTAACTCAAGATTGTACAGCGCTATCTCTTTCTCACCTTTTAATAATCGAAGGGGTGCACATAATATATAATGTAACACCCACTGTTGACTATTTATGTTAAGAGTCCCATGTAATAGGAGGTGAGCCTATTGCCATATATAAGACTCAATATTTCTAAAAATAATTACAAATTAAATAACATAATTAGAGAGCTTTTAAAGTCGTAAATAAAAATAATTACACACATAAAATAAATTAGAATTTAAAAATAAAGCACCAATTTAAAAACATAATTTATGTAAATTAATTATTATATTTTTACAGTTTACTAACTCAAGCTTTACTCTACCAGAGAATCTAACTCGGGACCTTTCTACTCGCCTGTTGGACTTATGACCCGTTCGAACTACGCTAGTATTTTAGTCGAATGCAAGCATTTCTTTTTTATACCACGACGGTGGCAAAAAAGCTTACCGCCCATCTAATGGTAAGTCGTTACCGTGGCCTATGTACGCTTGCAACACATGCGCCTTGCCGACCCTTTATAAACTTCTTTAGCTAGTTTTTAGTTACTTTGTTTCGCTTTAATTTTATGACAGAAGTGCGAACTGGAAATTACCGAGTACTAAACCGAAAGTAAATATTCCAAAATAAAAGAAAATATAGGAATCGAACACGATACCCCTACATCGACAGTCACACAAACTACACAACCAAAACAACAAAAAAAGTCCAAAATTTACAATCATCACTGCAAGAAAGAGATAGCGGTATACAAATCCCGAACTTACCCGAATGTACTTTTCTAACAGCCAAAGTTTTATACATTGCATGTCTCAGCTTACCTTGCTTAGAGCGTCAGCGTAATGATACAAATAAATAATATAAGACTATGTAGCAAGCTTTATGTACTACATACCTACTTTATTGCGTAAAAACTGTAATTTGGGGCGCAATCGAGTAAAAAGGGGTAATTTTACTGGATTGCCACCACAAGATGATAATCAATTATTTTGAGAGTGAAGTTACTTGTGAGCGATTTTTAGATGGTACACAATGTAACACAGTTTTCTTCAATTATGTTTTAAATAAAAATTGAACAGGGTATGAGTTTTTATAATATCTATCTTGAGACATAGTAAATTAACTAAAAACTAGTGGTTCGTAACTAGTAGAGCTTTTCTAACTATTATATTCACGTGAGTAACCCGTGATTTCAGTAAATTGAGTATGTCTCACGATAGTTATTATAAAAAGAGTAACACTTGAATATAACCTTTCATATCACCATATAAAAAAATACAATACAATAAAATATTTGAGACTCGACACAATACAATCAACACAATTTTTAAAACATGTCATATTAAATAATCGTTTAAAAGCAAAGTTGACTTTACCGCTCAAATATCTTGCACTATAATACAATTTGACAATAAAGTAGGTACGAATACAAAAGAAAATAATGTACAACAGAAACCAAAATATCTACAAACTAAATCTATCTTAACTCCATAGCGTAAAGTTTTTTATCGCTTGGCAAAAATGCTCTCATATCGATATCAATGCAAATTCAACTTTAACCATTTGGAATTAAAGATACATTCAGGATTGTTAACATTTTGGTTTTCAATGCACTGTTGTGTTTAAAATTTGGTATCTTTTTTTGATATAATCAATTCAATGACAGACTGTACACAGCTGTAACTACTGCGTGTAGCAAGCTGTGATATTCCTTTAAGTTGCTTAAAAAGAAACACTTATAATGCGCATTTAAAATAGCTAGATTTATATAAAAAAGATACCAAGAATTACCACAGCTAGCATAGAGAATAAAACTCAGAAATATAAAAAAACGCACCATAAATCCACGTAAAACTATGCTCAATCCAATATGTACAAAATAAAACATAATTTTTTTCTCATTAATCATATAAAAATTAAAGTACAGGACTCGATTTTAAGGCGTGATTGAAGAAATGCAATAATCGCCCTTAAAGGCTATACGATCTTATGAGTAATAACGATCATTTTTCTACACATGCACTTTTTGTTATAGGGGCTTTTTTACGGTGACGGTAAAATATTTTTTACCGAACTGCGCCATGCGAAGTTGGGTAATTTTTTATGTGACAAGTTCACGTTTCAGATTCATTGATATCGATTCAGTTATTTATTCTGAAAAAACCATTTCACAAATAAAATAGACCCTTTACATTATATAATAAGTAGGTATGGCAATAGTTTACAATTGGGTATTTATATACGACAAAAAATAATATTTCGAAAGGTCAAAAACGATAGTTCTTTACGAATTTTGTACGGGATTCTGTATTTATTGTATTTTAACGTCAAATAGCATATTTATTTGTGTGCAATCAATAAATGAATCAGTGAGTGACTTTTCACACGTATCGGTTGCCGGATAGCCGGTGCCGGGTACAAATTCCGTCGGTACGAGCGAAACCAGTACATGGCCATACACTGCACCGTCGGGTACCCGGCAACCAATTGGAAATTGGCAAATTTTCGAAACAATTTCGTTTTATTTTTTTTTTTTTGACTGATAAAACTACCCAATTTTATAAACTTTACAAGCTTATACGCCGTCGTATCACAGACGTATCGTTACGCTTCACTATCACATTGACAAGTCATATAATACGCTTAATTTTAAAGAGTGCGTTTGAACATAATTTTAACATTTTAAAGGACTATGAACAATACGCTGACGACACGCCGCCGTACCGTAGCGCCGCTGTATAACATACGTAAAATATCACATGATACGGTGACGTTAAGCTTGCTGATACGGTTGCAATACGCTCACAATACGCCTACACAAGTGCAGTGTAGAATACGACTAGCTCTTATGATATGAATTAAGGCGCGATGGATAGCGGTCTGAAGCGTCTCGCGCGGGCTGCGTTATGCGGCGGCGGGGCCCCCGGGGGCCCGGCGGGCGCGGGGGGCGGGGAGCCGGAGGACGAGGAGCCCCCGGAGGCCGGCGGGGACGACAGCAGCAGCGCCGGCACGCCGCGGGACGCGCTGCGGCTGCCGGGGGCCGCTCTGTTAGCATTGTATTTGGACTCTCAGAGTGACTGCGGGGTCACTGGTATGGGTATAAGCGAACTCATTGTTCTACAAAACACTTTGGCCCACAGAGGCTTCACCTGGCAGAATTTTTATTTATATAGGCCCTTCTAAGTTTCGTTTCATGCAGGACTCGAACCCGCAAAACCATAGCACCCAACTGCACTCAACAGTACATCATATTGAATATAATTTTCTATTACACAACAAAAAAGTAAATCTAATCTTTTAACCCCGATAAATATTACTCAGTTATTTAATGCGAGAATCGAACACGCAAAACCTAGACAATACATACAAGACAACAAAAATAATATATAATAATCTATGCAACAAACAACACCCTCTATAGCTAAGCCCCCAAACAAAGAACACCATCTATATTAAAAAATAAATAATCATACCTAGAATGATGATGCGGCGGCTGTCGGTGTCGCGGCCTCGCGAACCGTAGGTTCAATTCCCGGGCCGGGTCTACGGCGTATTTATCGTTTGCATTCTGACGACGCCGCCGGAGCGCTGTGGTGATAGCACTACATATTTTTATTATGTTACTTGTTTCAATGAGGGGATGGGTAGGATACTCATGTGGGATTTGGGACAACAAAAAAATAAAACATTTAAAAAGTTAAAACATATATCACGCCTTTTATCCCCGAAGGGGTGGGCAGAGGTGCACATTACGGTACTTAATGCCACTGTACAATGTAACACCCACTTTTCACTATTTATGTTACGAGTCCCATGTAATAGGGGGTGAGTCTATTGCCATATACCGGGTACAATTCCAGACTCCGTGAAGAATTTTTGTTTTTGTAAAGCCAGTAATACTTTGTCCGAGCCGGGAATCGAACCCGAGACCTCTTGCCTGGCAGCCGCACTTGCGACCACTCGGCCAACGAGGCAGTCAATATCATAGTAAAAATCACACCGTGTGTGAGAAAGGTCTGATATGGGAAGGTATCTCCCGCAATGTCCGTATCTCGAGGCACTGTACAGAAGTATATGCCCCGTTGGCCAGTACGCACCGGGCGTGAGGTCGGCGACGTCGGGCTGCAGCGGGTGCAGCGGGCCGTCGCCGCTCCAGCTGGCGCACTTGGCCAGGCGCTGCTCCGCGCACGCCACCGGGATGCGGGACGTGGACGCGCTGCCCGTGGACCGCTAATAAGAGAATAATGAAACATTATAATGTAGCCCTGTATATTTTTAAAAACGTATCAAGCTATGTCTCCAGAACAATATGACCCTGTCTGTCAAAAAGGTATTATTATACTTGTATTTTAGGTTAAAACCTCACCCATTTCTGGGGAACTACACCAGAGTTGCGGACTTTTGATCAAAGCAACTTTGGGGGTGATACTTGTGATGATCTAATCTAATCAATTGATAAGAATTTTCGGACTATTCTGCATGTGTTGAGTATAACTGCTTTCTGTAAGAGTGTGAATGTGAGGGGATGTAAATCGAGGGTCTTTAGACTTGTGTGTAGTGTTTTGGGGCCGCCTGTGCTAGATATAATAATAGGAATGGTCTTAACAGTGTGAACTTGCCACTGAGTTTTGAGCTCAATGGTCAAGTCTGTATATTTAGAGAGTTTGTTAGTGTGAGTCGAACTTAGGTTATGTGTGTTAGGTATGGCTATATCTATTAGATACACTATTTTGTTTCTCTTGTCGTGAAGTGTAATGTCAGGTCTGTTGTGGTGTATGGTTTTGTCGGTTAGTATGGTTCTGTCCCAGTACATTTTAAAATCTGGTGAATCTAGGATGATTTGGTGCGTGTACTTGTAGTATGGAGTTTTCTCTGCTATGAGTTTGTGTTTGAATGCGAGTGCTTGGTGTATGATAGCTGCAACCTGGTCGTGTCGGTGTTTGTAGTCTGTTTGTGTGATGGATGAGCATGCCCCTGTTATATGTTGGATCGTTTCAGGTTGTTTGTGGCAGTGCCGGCAATGGTCACTGCCAAGGATGTTATCGCGGATTATGTATTTTCTGTAGTTCTTGGTGTCAATCACTTGATCTTGAATGGATAACATGAAACCTTCTGTTTCGGGGAACAGCTCGCCTCGCTTTAACCATGCGTTTGACGCTATCTTGTCAACGATAGGATTGGTTAAATCGAGACGATGTCGGCCATGGAGCGATTTCTGTTGCCAAGCTTGTATCTTCTGTTCTTTGTTGACATACATACATACATAACTTCACGCCTGTCTCCCATGGGGGTAGACAGAGACTAAGGAACGCCAATTACTACGATTCTTACATACCTCTTTCGCTTCATTAACAGTCATCAATCTTTTCACGCATGCTCGTCGGTTAAGGGTACTTTTAATTTGGCCCTTCTTTAATATATCGCCAATCTGGTCACTATATGTCCGTCTAGGGCGCCCTCTACCGACGGCCCCATTCATATCCGCTCTGTATACT